GCTTCCATGGGTGTTGATTGTGGATCCAAGTAAAATGAAATCCTTGACAACTTCGATCTTTTCTCTGTTTATCATGATGTTGCTTATTGGTCCAATTGTGAGGATTTCTGTTTTCTTTATGTTCAGGTGTAATCCATACTGAAGGCTGTGGTCTTTGATCTTCATCAGTAAGTGCTTCAAGTCGTCTTCACTTTCAGCAAGCAAAGTTGTATCATCAGACACATGGTGGTCTGTTTGCTTATAGATCTATGTTTTGGATCAGGCTATGCCCTAGGCCCACAGTACCTCTTTCCTTAGTAACTCCTGGCCAAGGTCACCTCTTACTAGAAGACTTCCCTGCCTGCCCTTGCTCCTCACTGCCTCCTCAGCACTCCTGTAATACCTATATAAGCCCATTTGAAGACTTACTTCATGTTGTGTTGTAATTATGGATTACCACTTCAGTCTCCTCAATGACCTGGGAGTGTCCTGAGGACAAGAGTTGTTTCTTATTATCTCTGTAGTCTCAGTGTTTGGCATAGTGGAAGTTTCTAGTAAATGCTGGATTCAGTCAGATTTCCTGCGGAGCTTCCTGTGGGTATTCTGGGGTATGTGATTCACAAGTTCAAAAACCAGCCCTCAACAAAGGTGTGCAATAGTTCCCAACATTGAATACTTTGCGTGCATCATCAGTTTCCAATTTTCTATTTGGTCATTTTTTTAAAAATCTTCTTTGCTGGCTTTTGTGGTTTCCAGTTTTTTGCAGAAATTTTCAAGTTTGAAGTTTATTTCTTTGAACATAGCTGTTTCTAGTCTGTTTGTAATCATTCTAATATCTCAAGTCTTTGTGAGCCTGTTTTCTGTTGTTTCTTGTTTCTGGTCCATGTTCTCACACATGGTGTCTTGTTTGCTTTGTGCCTGGTTATCCATGACTGTGTGCTGGACATTGTATTTGAACAACTATTTGCAGAAGCCCTGGTGGCGTAGTGGTTAAGAGTTCAGCTTCTAACCAAAAGGTTGGCAGTTCGAATCCACCAGGTGCTCCTTGGAAACCCTGTGGGGCAGTTCTACTCTGTACTATAGGGTCACTATGAGTCGGAATTGACTCGATGGCAACGGATTTTTTTTTTTTAGGATTATGTTATCTTACTCAGGGAAAGGTTTTGTTTGCTTCTGCTAGGTGCCTGGGGGCAGTCCCAGTCCAAGGCCTCCTTAACCCATCTTCAAGGCTTGAGGTTCCCTCGTCATGAAGCTGGGCTATAAGTCTGTCTAAAGATTGGCTTACTTCCAACCTGAGGGCGTAGACCTCTGAGGGTCCAGCTTAAAGTGAGGCGTGGTTATCAGAATCAGAATCTTTGATGGACCCTGGGCTTTGACTTTTGCCCCCTTCCTCTGAGAGGCTGCCAGAAGCATAGCTCATTTTTGCAGCTGTTTCTTCCAGGTTGGCAAATGCTCTCAAGGAGAAAGTAGCTTTGGGTATTAGAGTCGCATTTCTGGTTTTTATTTTATCTTTTTAATTAAAAGAGTTTTTTTTAGTTGTCCTCATTGGGACAACTAATTCTCCAATATGATTAACTAGTCTTCCATTACTGGAAGAAGACAACACCGTGTATTATCTCATTAATACTTACGGTGGCCCTATAGGATGAACACTGTGTTCCCTGTGTTACCAGTGAGGAAACTGAGGCTTAAAAGCATTAAGCCACTTGAGGCTTAAGGCCGCTTAAGGTCACACAGCTGGTCTGTCTGACTTCAAATTCCCAGCTCTTTACAGCTACTCCAGAATCCCAGGACCCTCATGTATCTAACTCGTGTACGAGTTCCAGGGAGCCTCAGTGTCTGTCTTTGGGAGGCCTGAGGCCGGCGGCCAACACCTTTCCATCATAGTGCTAACCATACATAGCGCCTTTCTTGTACGTCTTGTGTTTGTGTGCTGTAGACAGTCCCCACAGCCTGCAGGGTAGGAGCGAGCTCCTCCTGGGAGCAGCGCAAGTGCGGGTCCCTGGGATTTGGGGCAGAACTCACTCCTAGACTGACCCCGCTCTCTCTACTCTCTCGTCCCCCCACGACCCTCCCCCGCAGCATGAAGGAGAAGAGCACCAAGCTGCGCAATGCTGCGGGCGTGGAGCTGTGGCAGCGTTTCCAGCGGCCCCTGCAGGATCTGCAACTGTGGAGGGCCCTGGCCCAGAGGCTCCTGGATGTCACCGCCAGCCTGCCAGACCTGCCCTCCATCCACACCTTCCTGCCCCAGATTGAGGTAACTGAGCTGCCAGCAGGGCTGGCGGGGTGGCTGGGGCATTTCCGCCACTCTCACAGGGAAGGCATAGCACCCGCCTTGCAGGTGTCTGTCAAAGCTTGGTGCACCATGTCTGGTGAGTCCCGAGGTCACAGTAAATGCCAACACCTGTAGTTACCAGTGACAAAGGCCACTTGGTTCTTGGCTAGAAGGAATTGCCAATGAGCTGTGGTGGCCCAGCGCTCTGCACTGCCCCTCACCCGCCCAGAACTGTCTCCCCTTTCCTTCAGGGCCCCACCTCAGGCAGTCCTCTGGCTACAAGCATTAATATTTCCATGAGAGAGCAGCGTATCAGGCCATTACGTTTGTTCTGTACCAATGAGGATGCCCGTGGCTGCACAGTTGTTTTCTAATGACATTTTCTGAGTTCCTAATACTTTATTAGGAGCCCCTGGGTGGTGCGAACAGTTAATGAGTTTGGCTGGTAACCCAAAGGTTGACCGTTTGAACCCACCCAGAGGCACCTCAGAAGAAAGGCCTGGCAATCTACTTCCAAAAAATCAGCCATTGAAAACCTTCTGGGGCACAGTCCTACTCTGACACACATGGGGTCACCATGAGGCAGAATCGACGTGATTTGGTTTGGTGGCTGCAAGTAACAGAAAACCCGACCAATGGAGGCTTAAACACAGACACTCAGGCAGTCCAGGGCTGGCTTGACAGCTCAGCAGTGTTATATAGGACCCAGGCTCTTAAGGCTTCCTGCTCTGCCATCCTGGGTGTGTCTCCCTTCAAGGACCCAAGATGGCGCCACCACTCCAAACATACATCCTTGCCTGAACAACCTACTATGCAGGAAGCGGGGGAGAGGCAAGAGGGGTCTCTCCAGCACCACCCCTGCCTTTCAACAGGGAGGCAAATCCTTCCCAGAAGCCCCCAGCAGACTTCCTCTTACATTCCATTGGCCAGACCAGGTCATATGACCATCCCTGGACCAATCACTGGCTGAGGATGATGGGTTGCTACGGCTGGCTTGTCTCCGGGGTATTTATAACTCTGGGCTGGACACTTTGTCACCAAAACGAAATCTAGGTTCTTTGGTGAGGAAGAAAGAGAAATAACTGTTGGGCAAGCAGCCAAGTGTGCCACAACTTCCCCTCAACACAGTCGCTCCGATTTGCCTGTAAACATTGTCTTACGGCGTCGTTGAGCTCTGAAGGTCATGAAGTACTTTCACATGTGGAGAGCCAGACATGTCATAGAGTGGGAAGAAACATAAAGAGCGTATCCGGTGTAACGCTAACCAGGGACGGATTACCCAATAAGCAAGTAACAAACACACCAGCTTACATGTGTTTGCTTACTAATCTGCAGGGCACAATTTCACCCGTTTTTCACCACATCAAGGTGAAACCGTGCAGTACAGGTTAGTAAGTAAACACAAGTAAGCCCGTGCATACCTTGCTTACTGGTTAATCCGCCCCTCCACTCCCCATCTTATATATTAATTTTCATTCTGATTAAAAGTCACACCTATTTGGAAAATGTAAATATTTGTGAAGAGGAAATAAAAAATCACCCACAATTCCACAATCCATAGGGCCACTATTAACATTTCTGGTCACGTTCTCCCTCACATTTTCTGTCCCACTGAGTATTACCGGGAGAATCATCAACCGGGGTCAGCCCTGCTCACCCGGAGCACCCTCCTCATCCCTGCATTCCGGAATGGCTGCCCTTGGGATTTTCCAGCTGGGCTCACATTGGAACTGGAGCTTGCTTCCCTCTCTGGACCATAACCTGCACTGCACGACCCTTCCTTCCCGGGCCCCTGTGACCACCTAGTGTTCAGCTTCAGCTGAAGGATTAGGGGTCTGTTTGTTGGGGGTACTCCCCTAGACTCCTCAAAGTAAATTTCACATGTTCCACAAACCTCAATTTTAGGTCAGACAATCCCAAATCTACCTTTCATATCTAATGAAAACCTATCTAGCCGTTTTCATGAGATGGGGTAACCAACAGACAGACGCTTTAATTAATTAATCACAAAATTTGTATATTTGGGATCCTATTATTTAGTTGTATATTCTGATATCCTCACTCTACACATGTGAGATTTTTCTCAGCATCATTTAATGTCATTCAAAACCAGTCCTCATATTTAATGACTGCATAATATTCAATTCTTTGGACATTCCGTAATTTATTTAGTGTATCCACTATTAGACATTTAGGTTGTTTCCAATATTTTGTTGCCCTAACTAATAAAAGTCAATTATTTTCTCCATTTCTACCATTTACGGCCCCCCCCCGCCCCCCATTTTGCAGACAAGGGATCCAAAACCAAAAGCCAAACCCACTGCCATGGAATTGATTCCAAATTATGGTGACCCCATGTGGTACAGTGTAGAACTGCTCCATGGAGTTTTCTTGGCTGTAGGATAATATTTATGGAAGCCAATCACCAGGCCTTTCTTCCATGGTGCCACTGGGTAGCTTCAAACCACCAAACTTTAGGTTAGCAGTTGAGTGCAAACTGTTGCACCACCCACAGACCTGACAAGGGATCAGAGCCAGGGAATAGTTAGGGTGCTTGTTCAAGGTCACGGGCAGAAATGATTTTTATTATGGTCACTTGGCTGTTGTTTAAACCAAGTCCCAGAGAAGGGAAGCCACTTCCCCAAGGTCACACAGACATTCAGGGACAGGGTCTGGCCTTCACTGCAGCCTGTCTGATGCCATGACGACTTCCTCACTGTGTCACCTTGGCCTTTTTGACCTGTCCCTCCCACTGTGCTAGGAAGCAAACCCGGACCTCCTCGAGGCAGGAGGAAGTGATGCTTTTTCTGGAGTGTGACCCAGGACCCCCAGAGCAGGAGGGTCACTGAGTGATGGGTGGGACTTTGGCTCGTTCATGTTTGCACACCACTTGCTAGCGGGAGAGCGTCTTGCATCAGCACCACCCGCCTGCCCTAGGGGGATGGATTCCATGTGCAGGGCTCCAGCTGCAACCTGGGCTTTTTTCTGACACAGCTCGGAGTGGCTGGGGGCTCTGCATGGTTCCTCTAGGACTTGGTTGGGCCCCAAATTTGCACGTGGCTGGTTAAGTAATAACGGCTGAGAAGAGCTGCCTTTGCTGTGTGCTTACATGGGTCATGCCCTGTGCTAAATGCTTTCTGGTAGCCTCTCACTCAAACCTCATGACAATCACATGAGCTGGGCTGTGACTAGCCCCATTTTACGGATGAGGAAACAGGCTCAGCAGGGCTAATGAACTGCTCGGGTCGCCTGTTGTTTGTGTGCCATCAAGTCGATTCTGACTCATAGCAACCCTGTAGGACAGAGTAGAACTGCCCCATAGGGTTTCTAAGGCTGTGATCTTTATGGACGCAGACGGCCGCATCTTTCTCCCACAGAGCGGCTGGTGGGTTCAAACTGCTGACCTTTCAGTTAGCAGCCGAGTGCTTTAACCACCGTGCCACCAGGGCTCCTTCAAGGTCTCCTCGCTAGTACATAATCCAAACTCATGACTGCAACTCCTCAGCCTGAATTCTTCACCCCATGATACTGTGTCTGGGTTTGGTGAGAAGGGGGTGAAGGTGAGGCCCCCACCTCCACTCCTACCCCCCAGGGAGAGGCTTGACTTCTGTGTAGCTGGTCGAAAACCAAACGCCCTCATCCGCAGGTAACGCCAGTACAGCTTCATCCACTGTGTTTATGCCGCCCTTCTCCCAGGAACGCCCTCTGCCCTTCAAGGGCTGCCATCCTTGCCGCCTCCTCCAAGGAGCCTTGTTGGATTTTGACCAACTAGGAGTGTCCATCCCTGCCTGAAACCCACAGCATGTAGCTCAAACTTTACTTAGGAAAATGATCACTGCTACCTCTCTGGGTTGGGGTCTTTGTTCTTCCTCTCCCAGCCCCATGCCTAGCTCAGTGTCTTAACTCTGTGAGTGAGTTCTCAGTAACATTATCAGTTAAGAAATGGAAGCACTGTGGCCAGCTGAAGATAAAACCCCTGGCCTCTAGGACCTTGGACCTCAATTAGAGACATAAGAGATGCTTACCCCAGACAGCTTGAGGGACAGCAGGTACCTGAGGCTTGGCACCGGGCTTGGGGGCCAGAAGAGGTGAGTATAGGCTGGGCATGTGGTCAGGGCAAGCTTCCTGGAGGAGGAGGACTAAGCCTGTGCAGAGTGCAGGCTGTGGGTGGAGTCAGCTGCCCACTGCAAGAAGCTTTTGAGTCCCCTTTCTGCCTCCTTTCCATCTGGCGAGCTCCTATATGTCAGGACTCCACTCAGGTGTCACTTCCTCTGGGAAGCCCTCCTGAATTCCCCCTGCCTGGGCTAGGCTCAGTGATTCTGATAGTGCTCCCCTCAAAATTCCCAAAACACTGTCTGGAGGTGGTTCCAGTGCCGGGGGATCATTAATGATGGGGGATTATTAAGTGGAGGCTCAACATGGTTAGGATTGGGTTTGATTGCAGTGGGGAGGGTGACTCTTGGGGGAGCAGCTGGGTGCCTTCAGACAGTCAGGAGCTGTGGGGTCCAGGTAAGGGACAGAGGGTGTGTGCTGCAGTCAGGGGCAGTGGGGTGGACCGGAGACAGTTCCTGAGGCATTTGTTGTTGTTGTGTGCCGTCGAGTCGACTCTGGCTCATAGTGACCCCAGGTGACAGAGTAGAACTGCCCGATAGGGCTTTCGAGGCTGTGATTTTCTCGGGAGCATATCGCCGGTTTTTTCTCCTGTGGAGCCACTGGGTGGGTTCAAACCACCAACCTTGTGGTTAGTAGCTGGGTGCTTAACCGTTTGTGTCACCAGGGCTCCTTCCGAGACACTTGACCCAAACCCACTGCTGTCTAGTTGATTCTGACTTGTAGTGACCCTGTAGGATAGAGTTAGAACTGCCCCATAGGGTTTCTAAGGCTATAAGTCTTTACGGAAGCAGACTGCCACATCTTTCTCCCACAGAGCGGCTGCTGGGTTCCAGCTGCCGACCTTTCAGTAAGCAGCTGAGCGATTAACCACTGTGCCACCAGGGCTCCTTCTGAGACATTTAAGAGCTAGGAATCTCAGGGTTTGGTAGTAAGATGGATGTGGGGGGTGGGCGCGAGAGGACTCAAAGTTGACCCTGAAATTCAGGCCTCCCCAAAACGTCCCTGCCATCTGGAGGTTTGCCTCTGGAAGAACTGTGGCCAGTGAAGGCCAGGCCCTGGTCTCCCACACCCCGGGACATCACTGAGAGACACCAGAGATGCTGTGTGCCTGCCACATCCTCGGAAATGAGCTCAAGGGCGCAGCGTCCTCAGCAGCCGCCCCCGAAAGAGGTGTGTCCCTGGCCACTTCCCAAGCTGTCCTGCCCCGCCAGGCCGCGGGGCTGATGGAAACCTTGTCTCCCATAGGCGGCCCTGGCAGAAAGCTCCCGCCTGAAGGAGCAGCTGACGATGCTGCCACTGAAGACAGACGTGCTGAGCAGCGTCTTGGGCCAGGAGCGAGCCACGACCCTCCTGGAGCAGGTGGCGAGCTCCGTGAGGGACCGTGACCTGTTACATAACAGCCTCCTGCAGAGGAAAAGCAAGCTTCAGGTGAGCATCGCTGACTGTCTGCCCGGCGCTGAGCCTGGCCAGAGGACCAAATCTCAGCTCCACTGCTCACCACTGTGTGGCCCTTGGTCCCACACAACCTTGGTCTCATCTATCAATGGAGTAGGATTATCCTGCCAGCCTTCTCCAGCTGGGCCTCTGTCCATCTGTCTGCCTCACGATTCTGCCCCAAATCTCCTCTCTTTGCTATAGTCAAACTGAACTACGGTCTGCACAGAGCTGCTGTGGGGAGTAAGAAAAAATGCAGGTGAAATACTTTGTAAAGTTTAAACCACCATGTTAATGACACATTTCTGAACGATCACACTATATCAAAACAGAACAGGGGTAGTTTATTCTTTAATGTAATACATGTTTCCTGAGTATCTACTAATGATGGTGATGATAGCGTCTGGGCTAAGCTGCTCATCCATGATCTCATCTGATCTGACTAACAGCCCTGTGTGGGAGGTACTACTATTTCCCCCATTTCACAGATGAGGAAATTGAGGCAGGAATTGTCAAGTAAGTGGCCTGAGATCACACCGTATATTAGTGTATTGATTTAAAACAATAGAAATTTATTGTGTCACATTTCTGGAGCCAACACGTCCAAATCAAAGTCTTGGCCACGTCAGTTCCTTCTGAGGGTTCCGAGGGACAGTCCGTCCCATTTCTCTCTTAGCTTCTGCTGACACATGGCGATCCTTGTTGTTCCTTGGTTTATGGACATATTACTCCACGCTCTGCCTCGTTGGCCCGTGGCTGTCTGTCTTCCCTCTGCATCTATCTCTGTGTCTCTTCTCCTTATTTTTATAAGGACACCAGTCATATGGGATTAGGGCCCACCCTACTCCACTATGACCTCATGTTAACTGCTAACATCTTCAAAGACCCTATTTCCAAACAAGCTCACAGTCACAGTTCCCAGGGGTTAGGGCTTCAACATATCTTTAATCAACTCATACCAAAAAAGCCCAAACCCGTTGCCACTGAGTCGATTCTGACTCATAGCAACCCTATAACACCCAGCTAATAGGTGGCAGAGCTAGGACTCACCCCGTAGCTGTCTGACTCCAGGGCCCTCCACAGCAGTGCCAGGCAAGGTTCTAGGAGCTGGGGGGACAAAGAAAGGAAGCCCGAGTCTTTGCCCGCAGAGAACTAGCAGACCAGCGGGGACACAAATAAACAGACAATTTCCAGGCAGCCTCCAAAGTATTGCTCTAGAGCAAGGTTTGACAGACTGTTTCTGGAAAGGGTGGATAGCAAATATTTTAGGGTTTGTGGGCCAGACGGTCTCTTGTAACCACTCAACTCTGCCATTGTAGCGTGAAAGCAGCTGTAAATGAATGGGCGTGACTGAGTTCCAATAAAACTTTATTTACAAAAACTTCCAGCAGGGTTGGGGTGGGTGTAGCTTGCCAACCCCTGTCCTAGAAGGGTGTGACCAGACTGTTATGTGGACACTATGGTGGCACTAAGGAGGGGCACCCAGCCCCATCAGGGAGCAGGGAAGGCTTCCTGGAGTGGGGGGCGCTGAGTGGAGCCTCGAAGGATGAGCCTGAGCTGGCCAGGAGAAGGCTGGGAAAGGGCGCCGGTTGCAGGTGTGAGGTCTTACAACAGGGGGCCTTTGAGGGTCACTCATGATTTCTGTGCTGCCCATCCTGTGTCTCTGCAGAACCTCCTGTCTCAGCACAAAGACTTCGAGGCTGCTTTCGAGCCCCTGCAGAAGAAGCTCTCGGCCCTCCAAGTCAGGGTCCAAGCCGAGCATGGGCTTCAGCGGGATCTTCCTGGAAAACAGGCCCAGCTCTCAAGGTTGCAGGTAAAGGGTCTGCAGGGTTCATGTAACCCCTGCTCAGGGGCCCAGCTGTCCCCGTCTTCTAGAGTGAAACCCAAACTCGTTGCCAATGAGTCAAGACCACTGAGCTGATTTCGATTCATACATAGTAGGACAGAATAGAATTGCCCCATAGGGTTTTCAAGGCTGTAAATCTTCACGGAAGCGTACTGCCACATCTTTCTCCCACAGAGCAGCTTGTGGGTTCAAACTGCTGACCTTTGGGTTAGCAGCCAGCGGTCGAGCGCTTAACTGCTGCGCCACCAGGGCTCCTCCTTTTCTAGTAGCTGGTCACCAGCAAGGCAGCAGCCGGCTCGAAGCAGAGGTGCAGATCCTCACTTGAGAGCTGAGCTTCATCCTCAACAGACTTCTTATTTACCTGATGGCTCCTGGCCTCAGCAAGGCCTTTAGCGTCTCACAACTGCTGATTCTATTTTTTAAAAAATAATGTATTGAGGTGAAATTTGCATAACAGACAATTAACCATTTGAAAGCGTACGGTTCGGCGGCATTTAGTGAGCTCACAATGGTGTGCATCCACCACCTCTCTCCAGTTCCAAAAGATTTCCGCCATTCCAAAGTAAAACCGCCTTAGCCACTAAGCGGAAAAGTGCTGATTCTTACGCATAATAAAGTAATAAGCTGCCCTTTGTTTACGCCTTCGTTCCAAAGTCTAATATTTGTACTTGTTTTTAAAATTGCTTTGCTAAGTGTTTCTAACGAGTCCAGAGGCTCTTGGTTAAAATAAACCAATTCGGGAATTAAGAATAAACGTTTAAAAACACATGCGGACAATAAATTGCCTGATAGTTGATGCTTCATTGCTAGATAAGGAGTGTGCTGGCTTCATTGCTAGATAAGGAGTGTGCTGGCTTCATTGCTAGATAAGGAGTGTGCTGGCTTCATTGCTAGATAAGGAGGGTGCTGGTTTTAAAATGCAGCTGTTTTTAAGACCAAGCACAGCTCCTGGTCCCTGGAAGGCATTAAAAATGGTGCATTTTTGACCAGACTTACTGGCCTGACAGAGACTGGAGAAACCCTGAGAGTGTGGCCCCCAGATGCCCTTTTAGCTCAGTAATGAAGTCACTCCTGAGGTTCATACTTCAGCCACAGATTAGACAGCCCCATAAAACAAAACGAGACTCATGGCACACGACAGTCCAGGGACAAGGACGAGAAGGCAGGAGGGGACAGGAAAGCTGGTCATAGGGAACCCAAGGTTGAGGAAGGACAGTATTAACATGTCGTGGGGTGGTTAACCATTGTCATTAAACAATATGTGTACTAACTGTTTAATGAGAAACTATTTGTTCTGTAAACCTTCATCTGAAGTACTAAAAAAAAGTAGTTTTGCAGTTTTGGAACTAAATGTTAAAAAAAAAAAAAAAAGTGCATTTTTGGCTTTCAAACTAAAATTGGGATGTGATTCTTGATGGCAAGAAGTGCTCATCAAGAGTCCAGATGTGACTCTGTCCCCTGAGATGCCACCTGGCCCTTAGCAGAGCCATTTTCATAAAGTCCCAAAATATTTTCTTTTGATTTTTTAAAATCTACACCTGCCCTGAGAATGGACCCCTTGGACTGCCCGTATTAGTGCTACAGCTGGTCAGGGGGAGCCCCAGCCTCCTGGGACCCCCTAAGTTCCCCACTCAGTGCCCCCGCCCGACCATCCCCCATGATGGAGAGACATAAGGACACCCCTACTCAGTCCTCTTCCTCCTACAGGGGCTGCAGGAAGAAGGGCTGGACCTGGGGGTACAGATGGAGGCAGTGAGACCATTCACTCAGGGGAACCCCAACCACCAGCACAAAATGGACCAGCTCTCCTCTGACTTCCAGGCTCTGCAGAGGTCCCTGGAGGTAAGGAGCCCAGCCAAAGGGTCAGCACTGGCTGTGGGGACACCAGGCCCCTGGGTCCCACACTCCTGGGGTCTGCTCCCCATTCCTTCATGCCTCCCACTCCTTTGTTCTTTCTCCCTTCCTTCTGTCCCATCCTCAGTCATTAATCACACAGTTATTGAGCGCCTGCTGTATGCTAGGTTTAGACTGGAGGCAGCACCAGCAAGGCCACCAAGGCCCCTGCTCTAGTTGGTGAAATGGACAATGAAATATTAAACCAAGACATAACTGTGCGATCCCATATTGTAACAAGGGCCAAGAGGCAAAAGAAAAGGTCGCGCTGGTCCTCGCAATGACCCAGCGCGCAGTAAGCCCCGTTCACTGTGCAGCATGAATGCCAGGTTGAAGGTCCTTCCCGGGAGTTAGCCTGGCGTCCTGGCCGCACCCCAAGCCACAGAGCTTCGCCTGCAGCGCCCTCTAGTGGCTTGTGTGTTTCTTGTTCCTGCACAGGATCACCTCCACTTTGACCGTGGGAACTGAATCTTGAGCCGGGTTCACAGTTAGCTGGAGGACACGTTGAAATGTGGGCTCCAGCCCCACCCCAGACACTGACTCAGATGGGGTCTTGGGTCTGCATTTGCAGCAAGTGCTCCGCGGGAGTTTAAAGCAGGCTCTCGGGCAGCGGCACTGCAAGAAAACTCTTAGCTTAAGGCAATGCTCCCACCTGACCAGGCCCTCCTCGCCCTGTTTTAATAACAAATATTTCTAACACCCCACCTTTACAATCCTGAAATTCGTAGGTAACATGTTACACACCCAAATGATTTAAAAATTAATAGAATGCCCTTTTTGTAAACAGAAGTAAAAAAAAAGTAATGTCTTCTAAGACAATGCCTTTCATTATGTAAGTGCTGGAAGATGCCCCCCCTGAGAACCTAACGAGGTGATCAGAACGTCTCTTTATGTGACAGCCATAAATGCTGAACCAAGTGACACAGCCAGTGTTCCCTCTAGTGATGGGATTTTCCAGAATGTGGACAACCCGTGAGAAAGTTCCAGTCAGACAATAACAGGCTCTCCTTTCGGTTTGGATGGGAGTTGCATTCCCAGAGAGGTCAGCGTGTTCATCGAAACTCGGTGTGTGTGTGAGAACTGGGGTGCGGTTCTCGGCTCGGGTCATGATAGGCAGGTTTTCGCCTCTGGAATATTCAGTAGAACAGGCGACTCTCGTGGAGCGTGGGGCAGTTCTGCACTGAGACCGTTCTGTTCAGCAAAATGGAAACAGCGTCCACTCTCTCTGTATCTGCTGGCCTCACCCCACCCCATCATTATCGGAACAGCCAAAAACATCCCTGTGAGCTTCCAAAAATGCGGCACCATCTATAGTGGCCCATTGGTCTAAGTGACGCATACGGTCTGGGTGAAGTCATTTAATTCGATTTAGTAAAGTAGCCACTGATGGTGACTAGGTTGAGCCTCGGGGAGCAGAGAACTCAGAAACATGGTCTCTGCCCTTCAGGTGCTGACAGAAGCCCGCAGAAGCAGCACATGTCAGCTTTAACGCCCTCATCCAGATGATGAGCTACATTAATCATTATAATAATAAGGAGCATTAACTGAGCATCTACTATGTGCCAGGTGCTTTGCATGCATTAGCTCCTTTAAGCCTCACCGGACCTCTGGGTTAGCAGTTGAGTGCATTGACTGTTTGCACCACCCAGGGACAGATTTGTTGTTGTTGTATGCCGTGGAGTCAATTCCAACTCACAGCGACATCGTGTGACAGAGCAGAACTACCTTAGAGAGTTTCCTAGGCTGTAATTTTTAAAAGAGCAGATCGCCAGGTCTTTCTCCCCCAGAGCCACTGGTGGGTTCAAACCACCAATCTTTCAGTTAGCCGCTGAGCACTTAAGCATTGTACCACCAGGCGTCCTTAGGGACAAGTTTCTAGGCATTTGAAACCACAGGTGATCTTCCTAGAGTTAATGCCTTATGTGGGTGCAGAAGGCAGGACCGGCCTGTGTTCCCGTGGGGCGGGGAGCCCTGGGGGCTGTCTCGTCCTGGGGCCCCGCTGGGCCTGGGGTCCTGCAGGTTGAGTGGCGTCCAGGGTCTCTGCCTCAGCCAGCATTGTTCCTCACTGTGCTGCAGGACCTCGTGGAGCGGAGCCGGCAGAGTGTGCAGGAGCACTGCGCCTTCAGCCATGAGCTGCTAGAGCTGCGGCACTGGATCTCCGTACTCACCCAGAAGCTAGAGGCCCACCAGGGTGACGTGGGCCCGTCGGAGGCAGAGGCCCGAGAGGCAGAGGTTGAGGTAAGCTGGCTTTTACTGCAGAGATGCCCATTCTCTCTCCAGCACCCCCAAAAGCAGCCACGAGAGGCCAGAGCCCCCATTCTTGGGAGCCTCACTCTGCGTGTGTGTGCACATGTGTGTCTCCTTCAGAGGCTGGTGGCGGAACTCCCCGAGAAGGAGGCCCAGCTGCCCCTGGTGGAAGCCCACGGCTGCCTGGTGATGGAGAAGTCTTCTCCTGAGGGGGCTGCTGTGGTCCAGGAGCAGCTGTGGGAGCTGGCCAAGTCGTGGCAGGCCCTGAGGCTGCTGGAGAAACATCTGCTGAGGTGAGCGGCCTCATGCCCCTTTCCACAGGGGACAGCTTAGTCAAGTTCAGAGAGCAAAGGGCTAGGGTTCTGCTGAGTGCCAGGTGTGGCGCTAGGTCCCTGGACATCTCCACCCTCTGGCCCACTCAGCCATCCTAGTGGGAACAATAGGAGCTGAGATACATCCATGGGTTGGGGATTAGCCTCTCGCCCATTCTGGCTTGAGCCTCAGTTTCCCCACCTGCATCAGTGGGTGTATGCACCTTCATGGCAGGGTAACATGGCTCCTGGGTAAGACACTGGACAGGAACCTGCCCCAGGAACAGTGTCTGAAAATCCCAAAGGCTAGGCACCCCGTGATGCACGCCGTCTGTGACTCCTCCTGTGACTGGCCAGCCTCAGCACATTACCACGCTGACTGGGTTGAGTTTGCCCCCTCAGCCTCATCAGAAACTGGAAGCTGCAGACAATGGAAGTGGACTCAGGCAAGAAGACGGTGTTCACCAACAACATCCCAAAGTCAGGGTTTCTCATCAACCCTCTGCAGCCCATTCCCAGGCATCGTCTGCAGGTAGGTCTGTCTAGTGGCACTTAGGCGGGGCAGGGGGCATGTCCCACGTAGAGTGACAGGAGAGTCTCCAGCAAAGCCCACTCCCTGCCCGGGGCCACATGCTCAGCTTGCAGGATGTGGCCAAGGCCATCTTGGGTGAGCCTGCCCCTGCTGAGGGGCATTGCACAGAGAGCCCCAGACACTGCAGAGCTGGCCCACCTAGGAGGGTCCTGGGAGGTCTTTTACCGAACACTGGAGACGCCTCTGCAGCGGGGAGCACCAGGGTTGAAAGCTTCCCCCCGGCCCCAGGTTAGAAACCAAAATCACACAAGATGGTGCGTGCGTGTGTGTGTGTGTGTGTGTGTGTGTGTGTGTGCGTGTGTGTGTGCGTGTGTGTGTGTGTGCTGTAAGTTGTGTTTTGTAAAAAGAAAGAACCTGAATGCAGTGCCCTACTGGGAGAAAGGTAATTCAGCCACATCTCCAGGCTGAAAGAGTGAGCCAGAGGAGCAGAGGGAGGAGTTTTCTATACAGGGTAGATGTGTGTGCAAAGGCCCTGAGGCAGAGAGAGCACCAGTGCAAGGGGCCCAGAGACATCTGTTGGGCTGGAGCTGAGGGAATGGGGCTGGCGGCTCAGCTTCTGAGGCTGGCAGCGCTGGCACCTGAGGCTCTCGGGCCCCGTCAGGGAGGTATGAGAAGCCACCAGGTGCAAAGAGGGGGCTTAGCTGAATGAACCTGCATTTTAGACAGATCATTCTGGCCACAGGAGCCTGGAGGGGATGAGAGTGGCAGAAGGGTGGCTGGTGGTACAGCCATCCTGGTAAGGGATGGTGCTGGCTTCCCCCAGGGGACCAGGGAGGTGAGGTCAGGAATGCCTTGGACTCTGAGTGGGCCTGTGCTGTAGAGGTGTGTTCCTCACCCCACCAGTCTTCTCCACTACTTTTTGGGCATCCTGACCTCATCCCAGCCCCTTGGCCTCGGTGGACCCCCCCAGCACACGTGGCCAGTGGGCTGCTTCCATTAAGACTTCCATCATTCCTGCAGGGAAACTGGCTCCAGGAAGAAGGCGGCCCCGAAGATTTCTCCCAACTCCTGAGGGACTTTGAGCGGTGGCTGCAGGTGGAAAATTCCAAGTTGGTTAGAATCATTGCCATGAGAACTGCCACAGCCAAGGACGTGAGGGCCAGGGACATGAAGCTACAGGTTTGTTCTCAAAGAAAGGCCCCTTGCCCGTGGACTCTGCACTGTAGATGTGTTTGCCACCAGGGACATCTTCAAAACAAGATCACATTCATAGCTTGTGTTATTCTCGCATGGATGTAAATAATGGTTTTATGCTTTGGGGATTCGAATATTTTACGAGAACTTTTCCTGGCACTCACTTATTCATACGTTCACTCAGCCCGCTTCTGTATCCCCCAACCTGGAAAATATCACCACTAATCACTTGGCTCCTGTATCAGTTAGCTGTGGCGTGTAACAAATCACCCCAATGCTTTGTGGCTTAAAACGTCAACCGTTTACTGAACTCCTGATTCTGAAGGTTGGCAATTTAGGTTCACCTCAGCGGGGCAGAACTTCTAGGCTCCCTTGTATGTCTGCTGTCAATTGTCGGTCAGCTGGTGGCTCTGCTTCTGGGGATTCGCTGGCTGTTGGTGATGAGAATGACTGGACCACACAGATCTGTCTTCCGGCAGGACAGCCCAGGCTTGTTCTAGCACAGGCTGGATCTAAGAGAGCAAAGGACTTTTATGTCAACACATGGAGGACTTGGTCCTTGGAAGTCAGAGTGTGAGGTGGCCATGGAGGGGTCAGCAGTCCAGGTTCCCCCTTCATGCAGGAGTCCCTCCTGGAACATTCCGGAGAGGATGTGGCCAGCCTTGGCTTGCATTGGCATGGATGGGATTCTCACTGAGAGGGCTCTGCCTGCCCCTCCCAGCATGCCTCTCTCTCTGGTGAAATTTGGTTAGTCCCTCCTTATCAGTCAGGTGGGACCATCTGGGCCATTTGGAAGGTATACCATGATGCTGCCTTTTCCCCAGGAGCTGGAGGCTCGGGTACCAGAAGGGCAGCATCTCTTTGAGAACCTCCTTCATCTCGGGCCAGCAAGGGGGACCTCAGATGAGCTGGAGGACCTACGCTACCGGTGGATGCTGTACAAGTCCAAACTCAAGGACTCCAGCCATCTGCTGGTAGGTGCTAATAATGGCCACAGCCCAGCTCCCTGGGGAAGGGACCATGACTGGGTCCAAGCTCACCCAGGGGGACAAAGCTTGCCCATGCCCTGCTCTCTCTATGCCTGCATGAACCAGGCTAAGGTGACCACTCATGGGTCCGAGGCCCTTGGCTTGTGTGATGTCATTTAGCCATCTTAGCCTAAGGGCCCCGAGTGGTGCAAACTTTGCACTTGACCGCTAACCTAAAGGTTGGAGGTTCGAACCCACCCAGTGGCACTGCAAAAGGAAAGCTTGGCGATCTGCTTCCGTAAAGATTAGGCCAAGAAAACTCTATGGGGGCAGTTCTACTTGGTAACACACGGGTTCGCCATGAGTCAGAGTTGACTCGACGGCAGTGGGTTTGGTTCTGTTTTAGATACCCCCTGACACCCTAGTAACGACCGCAGAACCTTCAAAGCTAATGCTTAAGGGGCTTTGTGCCTACCGGGCTGAGACCTTGGCTTTGTGCCTACTGGGCTGAGACCTTGGCGTGTATTATCCCAGCTCGGTCCCTACAGCATCCTCTGCCAGGGCATCTCCAGTCCGCAGAGGGGGAAGCGAGCCTTCCAGCAGTTAAATAACTCAGCCCAGGTCACACAGTTCGTATGTGGCAGTGCCAGCACTGAAATACCACCCTTGTGTTGCAGACATGGTGGAGGGAAGTACTGGCCTCGGGGTCGGGAGAGCTGGGCTCTAGCCGCACTCTGCCATGAATTTGCTTTGTGACTTTGAGTGTCTCCTCACGCAAAATGATAATAATAGCTAAAGTAAAAATAATAGTCAAAATTTATTGAGCCTTTATTAAGTGCCAAGTCTTCATTTAAAAAAAAAACCAAAGCCGTTGCCTTTGAGTCGATTTCGTCTCGCAGTGACCCTATAGGACAGGATAGAACTGCCCCATAGGGTTTCCAAGGAGAGGCTGGTGGATTTGAACCGCTGATCTTCTGGTTAGCAGCCAAGGTCTGAACCACTGCATCACCAGGCTCCAAGCCTTCGTAAGAGCCCTATAAAGGAGATACTATTATTGTTCCATGTTAACAGATGAGGAAACTGAGGCACGGAGACTATGTTTTGTGAGTCCAAAGAGGGAGCAGATGAGGTGGCCTCCGAGGGCCCTCTCAGCTCTTCAGGCCCCAGCTGCCCAGCTTCAGTGCGCCAGGCTCTCCTGGCCCCGTAACAGCCCAACTGGCCACTAGGTGTCAGCGCAGCCCCAGCCCGGCCCCCGGCGCCCCCAGCCGCCTGGGCTGAGGCCTTCCCAGACAGAATCCCGCTTGGGCCCAAAGTGTGTTACAAAGCTCATTAAATCGAATCACCTGCTGGCTCAGCCTGTCCAGATGACCAGAAGTTTTAGAGAAACACTCCCCTGACAAAATGAATATTCCATTACAGGCTCTGTTGGGAGTTAAGTTTCACTCACTTAACTTAATTTTTTTTTTTTCCCTTTTCCTCTCCTTCCCTAAAATAACAGACACAGAGTTCTCCTGGGGAGCTGACTGGATTCCAGAAGGTAGGCTGTCTGCTATCTGCTCCACGCGGCTAGAGGGCAGGGCGCCCGGAGGGGTGGTGGGCCTGTGACCCTGCAGGACTCTGCGGCTTTCTGGAAGGTTCCGTTAAGTCTGAGAAGTATTTACGGTCAACGCCGAATCATGGCAACCTTATATACAACAGAGCAAAACGTTGCACAGCCCTGTGTCATCCTCACAATCACTAGCATGTTTGAGAGCATGGTTGTAACTATCGTGCTGATCCACCTCACTGAGGGTCTCCCTTGCCCTTGCTGGCCCTCTACTTCACCAAACATGACGTCCTCCTCCAGCAATTGATCCTTCCTGATGACGTATCCAAAGGAAGTGAGTCAGACAATGTTCTGTTGTGAGTCATAAGGTTTTCATTGGCTAAGTAGATTGCCGGGCCTTTCTTCCTAGTCTGCCTGGGTCTGGAAGCTCCACTGAAACTTGTCCAGCAGGGGTGACCCTGCTGATATTTGAAATACCAGCAGCAGAGCTTCCAGCATCATAGCAACATGCACACCATCACAGTACAGCAAACTCGCAGATGGATGTTGGGTGATACAGGAGAGACCCTGTATTTATGATCCCAAACCAGGACACTTTGGGGAGCGAATGAGGATGCTATTGATAACTACAGCACGACAACAGGTATAAACCAGAATTGTCCCAGGAGAACTGGGCTGTGTGGTCACCCTAGCGATAGATGGTCCTGCAGGGCTCCATGGGCAACAAGAGAGGAAGGGGCAGATAAATACTACTTAGGGACCATCTACCGTGTGCCAGGAACTGTGCTAAATCAGGATGATGGCATGCCATTTAACCCCCCGCCGACACCCCGGAGGCATTATTATCTCTGTGAGCACACTGAGAGCTGGAGAGACCAAGCTGACTCTCTCAATGAAGGCGTGCAGCTGGGGCATGCACTCTGGCCTGTGGGAGACCCGCCCCCGGAGCTGCTGAATCCTTGAGCAGCATGCGTGCCCTCAGAGCTGACACTTGCTCCACTGACATTTACTGAGTCCTTGCTGAGTTCTGGAATGGCTTTGGGGGCTTGAGGGGGTAGGGTTGCAGATAGAAGAGGTCAATAATACACCTGCTGGGCTCTTGTGGACCTCACAGCCTGGCAGATGGAGCAAAGCCCAGAAAGGGACCAGTGCGGTGCCAGGTGATAACAGAGGCAGCACTCAGCTGGAGTGGGGGTGGCGCTCAGCTCAGCTTGAGAGATGCTGAAGGAAGACTTCCCGAGAGATTCCTGAGCTTCAAGGGTAAATAGTAGGGGTGGGGAGTGAGGAGAGGGCATCTCAAGTTGGAGGACGAGTTTGCGCAAAGGCATGGCAGGGCAACGGAATGGGGTCCACTGAAGAAATTAAAGAGTTCAGTGTGAATGAGACACAGAGAGGAAGACGTGGCTACCAGAGGACCCAAGCCATGCAGGCCATGAAGTCCGGACTCCGTGCTTTCCACATCATGGCGCGTGCGGAAAACGATCACACAGCGAGCACACTGGAGCAGAGGGTCTAGACCTCCCACGTTCCCTGTCCTGCCCATCCCAGCCCTCTGGCTGCCCTTCAGCCTGAAGGCACCGATCTCAGCACACCTCTAACCTCTACCTGACACTGGCTGGGAGGCTGTGCTGTAAGCCGGAGCTTCTCCAACTTGGGGGTGCATCAGAATCACCTGGAAGGCTCGTTAAAACAGATTGCTTGTCCCAGACCCCAGAGTTTCTGATCCAGTAGGTCTGGGGTGGGGCTCAAGGATTTGCATTTCTAATAAGTGCCCAGCTGCTGCTGCTGCTGGTCCAGGGACCACACTTTGAGAATCGCTGCTTTAGGCTATTGGTTCAAAGTGAGGCTCCATCGCTAGTGTGCGTGCCTTTTGGCAAGTCACTTAACCTCAGTTTCCCGGTGAATAAAACGGGGGTCAGCTGATGGCCGGCAAAGTTCCTGCAGTAACTGACTGGCACACAGTAGGGCTCAGTTGCCACAATGGGGACCCAGGAGAGTTCTGCAGACGCAAAGGAAGCAGTGGCGCCTCCGAGGGGGAGGTCCTCCCCTTGGTCTGGGTCTCCTGTTGTTTGGCTGGGGTGTGCGTATGCGTGTGTGTGGGTGTGTGCACACATACACGTATATACATGCACCTGTGGGACTGACAGGTAGAAAATAGGTGCTGTCTTCAAAAGTTGTAGCCCTGCCAGCTTCAAACCCTCTCATATGTTACTTTTAGTCCAAAGCGAAGAAAAATTCTGCCCTAGAGCTAATTATTTATGAGCAGTGGGTTCTGCACGGGTTTTTTTCTCTCTCTTTGTGCACCGAGCCATTGAAAGCTCCAGCTACGTCAACGGCTCCAGCGGGATTGTTTATACAAACAGAATAATTAAGATTTATTAAACTCGCGGCTGCCTACACGCTTGCCAGCTCGGTGCCACCCGATGTGTTTTCCTGCGGCACAGACACGGGAAATGTTGCAGCTGGGCCGGGAGTCAACCCAATTCCTGCACTGGCCGTTCGAGGAGGTGTGGTTCTCCCTGAGACAAACTTTTAATTTCAGAAGAGATTTGCAAATCCTTCTGTTTGTCTGGGTGACTGGGGGTAGGGCCAGCGTGCTGGTTGGCAGGAGCAGAGAGCACACACCTCTCATGCCCTGCATAGGGGTGGTTTGAGGCAGATCCAGAGGTGGGGTAACTGAGAGTGGCATTTTATTTAATTGACCAGATTTCATAGATTTTAAGACTCTCGTTTTTTCACATCTCTGGAGTTGGGATGTCTTATTAAAACCAGTTGTTGTTGAGTTGATTCCGACTCACTGAGACCCCGTGTGTCAGAGTAGAACTGCTCCATAGGGTTTTCATGGCTGTGACCTTTCAGAAGTAGATCATCAGGCCTTTCTTTCAAGGTGCCTCTGGTGGACTCGAACCTCCAACCTTTTGATGAGCAGCCGATCACTTAAGTCTAGTTCTTTCAGGGAGGATTTGGGTGGCTTCTCTTCATCAGCTTGGTCACAACCAACCTGAGCCCTCTTTAAGGGAAAGTCTGTGCTTGGGGGTTTTGTTTCGTCTTGTTTGCCTTCACAGCTCACGTTGGTGTGATGTTTGGACAACCGGGTGACCTCATCATATCCCCCACTCCCAACCGAGTCCAGGGCCGCATCTCAGCAGGGTGTCACTGACCACCAAGTTTCCCAGTTTGGATGCCTCTGGGTCCTGGGTGCTTGCCGACTTTGGTCCCAGTCCTGGGCTCAGAGGCTGGCCACGGATGGATCTCAGATGAGGAAGGATAAGGAAGAGAAGGGAAAACAAGGGGCAGGGGAGGGGAGAAAAAGGGAGGGGAGGGGGAGAGAAGGAGGAAGGGAACCTTATGCCTACATGCCTGCCCCTGAAGGACCCTCCATCTTTCCTGGAGTCATGACAAAAATCTCCCTCACTCTGAGCATCACATCCAGGAGACCTTCCCATCAGCTACCTAAACCACTTCCAAAGGCCAGGTTGGATGGTCTCCCCTCCCTCTCCAAAACCAACCCAGACTCCTGGAAAAATACAGCCTCTGTGATTGGACCATCCCATGCAGAGCCATCCGAGTGAAGAGACAAAATGGACCCGCCCCACCCAGCCACAGCCATCCTGTCCCTGGTGGAAACCATGCAGAACCTCTGAGCCCTGGTGGGAGATGTGTCCTGGGCTGGAACTCAGAGAACAAGCGAGCCCAGTCAGAGTGGGCAGGGCCCAGCCTGGGGACTGTGGTCACCCCCGAGGACTTGCTGGAGCCATCTCAGAAGTGTGGTGGCCCCAGACCCAGCCCCTTCTGAGGACTCTTGAGGAAGCGTGGAGAGAGGAAGTCAGCCAGAACATGGCTTGGCAGATAATCAGAGGGCCTCCAGAGGACTGAACAAATGGCTAAGTTGGAGTTTCATGAGGAGCATTGGGACTGCCCATCATCACTGCTGGTGAAACGCTGGTACCACCAGACTGCACATCGCCATGAGCTCTGGGTGCTGCCCAAGCGCATCTTTGTGGTAAAGAATGAGGTCCAGGCTGGCCAGCTCCCAGGAGGAACCCATGAGTAGTAATGAGGCCCGCTTTCCACAAAGTGGGACCTGCCTCGGCAGACCCGGGCACACGACTGAGCCCAGGGTGTCTCTGGTGTTGTTCTAGCTGCTGTTTCTTGTGAGAAATGCTGTGTGGGGAACATCCTGGACTTCGGAGCGATGATGGAGTTTGAACCCCTCTTGTCTACTTACAGGAGCCCTGGTAGCGCAGTGGTTAAGAGCTCTGCTGCTAACCGAAAGGTCAGCAGTTGGAATCCACCACCTGCTCCTTGGAAACCCTATGGGGCATTTCTACTCTGTCCTATAGGGTTGCTGTGAGTCGGAATCAACTCAATGCTAACAGGTTTGGTTTGGTTTTGGGTTTGTCTCCTTACTGTCTGTGTGACCTTGGGCTGGTTACTCTCTCCACCCTCAGTTTCTTCCTCTGTAAAATGGGCATAGAAGCCCTCGTGGTGCAGTGGTTAAGCACTCAGCTGCTAACCAAAAGATTGGTAGTTCAAACCCACCAGCCCATCCGTAGGAGAAAGATGTGGCAATCTGCGTTTGTAAAGATTACAGTGTTGGAAACCCTGTGGGGCAGTTCTACTCTGCCCTATGGGGTCGCTGTGAGTCTGAATCAACTTGATGGCTCACAACAACAACAAAATGTGCATAGGGAAGCCTCCCTCACGGGGCTCTCGAAGGGGTTCTGGAAGCCACGAGTGAAGAGGAGAGCCTAGCTCGGGCCCTTGGTGGTCGTACGTGGTGTGTCCACTGATGAGTAGAGCTCAGACATTCTGGGTGAACCATCAGGACCAGAGGAAATGATTCATGGACATCTGTAAGCAAGCGTCTCCATGGTCACCTCACGGGTACTGAGGGAGGAGCAGATGGCCAAGTGCACAGGAAGAGAAGGAGCCCTGGTCCCTTTTATTCATTACTTTATTCATTCAGCAAGTAGTTATTGAGCACGGCTGGCGATACAGCTATGAACAAAATCTGTGTGCTCCCTGCCCACAGGAGCCCAGGGGAACACAGACCTTAACCAATAATCTGAAGGAAAAATATCGGTTGCTATGAGAATGTGTAATCGGGACTTTTTTGGATCTCGAGGCCAGGGAAGCTCTCCCCGAGGAAGCAAGTCATGTGTTCAGATTAGAAGGATCAGTAAGAGCCAACCAGGTGGATTAGGGAAAGGAGGAAATGAGTATTCTGGGCAGAGGGACAGCTTGTGCAAAGGCCCTGTGGCAGGAGGAAGTGAGGTCCTTCAGTGAGCTCAGAGATGGCATTTGAGGAGGGCATGCTTTCCTCTCCTATGGGGCTGTGGAGGTTGGTGGTGCCTGCTCTCTGACATCCCTGGGTGTTGGGGGGAAGGAGCTTTGTGGGGCTTGTAGGAACTGCCCGGGCCCCAGGATTCATCATGTAGAAGAGGAAGGAAATGGGCATTTATTGAGTGCCTACTATGCATGTTAAACATAACATACACTACCTCACTTATCCTTATGACTTTGGTAGGCAGGTGTCATTCTCCCCTTTTTTTCAACAGATGAAGGAACTGAGGCTCATAGAGGCTAAGTCACTTGTCCTAGGTCACACAGCTAGGAAGTGGTTGAGCCAGGGTGAGAACCCAGGACTCCAAACCTTTTTTTTTAAACCACATCCCATTTCATCAGTGGCAGAAGATTAGGTCACATGTACTGTCTAGATAAACTCATCTCATCTCAACTCTATGGAATCCTGGAGTCTCAGATTCATGTTTGACCTTGAAGGAATCTTGGTCAGAGCCTCTATCAAGCATCTACTTCCCCTACATGCTGTCTCCTGCTTCCTCCCCAGCATCTCCTGCACTCACTGACCCTCTGCTTCCATACCCCAAAGGATGGGGAGCTTCTCACCTCCTGAGGGAGCCTCTTTGGATATTCTAACTTGGTGGGGAAACTGAGGCACAGAGCGGCTCCTGGATCTGGGAAAAGCGGAGACGGTCAACTACCTTGTTGGGTTCTTAGAAGGTAGCTCATGCCTCTTCCCGTGTGTGTGTTTTAAGCACTTGAGAGTCATATTAAAATGTGTCTCATTTTAAAGAGTGTTTTAGAATTCAGGTCCCTCGAAGTGACAAGAAGACGTGAGCTCTAAGTGAGTAGTCATCGGGCAGACAGCAGGAGTCCTTCGGAGAAGATCATCCCTTGTGTAGACTTGTAAATGCAGACACATTTTGAACCTTCAGAGATGTTTTTCCCAGAGGATCATAGCCAAGACACAACCCTCACTTAAATAAGCAAAGTGTTGGCTTTGAGAATGGAGGAGCAAACAGAAATAGGACACCTGTAAACAAACCTCCCATTTGGGAGACCATTAATAACAGGTTTTCAGTTGTGGTATAAACCCCAGGCTGGGGGTGGGCATGTTGTCTCTCCCAGGATGGGTCGGAGATTTGGAATCAGCAGAGTCAACATTAAATGTCAAGGAGACAAGTTAGAGGCCCCACAGACTGAGTTGAGCAGAGCGGGAAAGGAGGCTCACGGCAGCCAGATCTAACCGAGCCCGGGCAGTGGTGGGATGGGATGGGCAGCCCTCTGGGAACTCAGGCTCACTTGGCTGCTTGAACAATGATCACCGTCCTGAAGTCACTGATGACTTCTGCAGCCAGCAGTGCTTATCCATTGTGTGGGTTACAGGAAGCCCATTTTTATAAAATCAGTATCTAAGACTTTGATGAGTGAGAAAGTTTGAGGCTAGAGGAGGCACAGGGTCGAGTGTTGTCAACCTGGAGGAGACAGTTGAGGCAGGAGAGTGGGTGAGATGGCTCAGACGTGAGAAGTAGAGAGAAGTGCTAGGTCAGGACCTCCCAGGAACATTTGCACTTAGCAATGCTCCTTCATCTCCATCATCACTATCATTAGCTCCATCACCATCACCATTATCATCCCCATCATCATCATTACTGTCATCATCGTCCCTGGACTGTGGATTTTGGTGCCCTGGAGGGTGAATTTTTGGTTCTTCAAAAAGCCAACAGATATGTTCTACAATAATAGTACCACTAATAAGAGCTTGGAGCCCCGGTGGTGCAGTGGTTAAACGCTACGACTGCTAACCGAAAGGTCGGCAGTTCGATTCCACCAGTTGCTCCTTGGAAACCCTATGGGGCAGTTCTGTCTGTCCTATAGGGTTGCTATGAGTCGGAATTGCCATGACAGCAATGGAATAAGAGCTTAAAGACTTTATATTGAGGTATAAATATTCTTTGCTTTGAGTCTTTGCCACAGTCTGGCATATGGGCGTATGCCTTTTTTACAGAGAAGGAAACAGAGGCTCAAAGATGCTATTGACTTGCCCAAGGTCCCACAGTTATTATGTGACAGAAGGTGCATTGGAACACTGTCAGCTTTCTGAAGCTGGGCCCCTGCCCTTCACCATGCTACATCTCAGCTGTGAGGACCTCTGCTTTCTTGAGTGAGTGGCCAGCTCTTGGCCCCACATTCCTTGGCAGTCACATACATCCCATAAAGCCACAATCCAACCAGTCTCCCTTGAATTTAGGAAATGGTCCTTTGACTATTTTCATGGACACTGCAGCAGATACGTCCACCAGGCACTTGGACTTGTGAGACTAATCTTCAGGTGATATTGATTGTGGTGATGATGAAGGTGGTGAAGATGGATGTGGTGCTGGCAATGATGATGAAGATGGTGAGGAAGGAGAAAGAGAAAGTGATGATGATGATGACAGTGATGAAGTGGGGATGTTATTAACCACGTTCAATCACAATAGCAGCAACTCCTGAGTACCTACTGTGTGCCATGCTCTGTCTCCTTTAATCCTCGTGACAACCCAGTGAGGTAGTGTTATGGATTGAATTGTGTCCTAAAAATGTGTGTCAACTTGGCTAGGCCATGATTCCCAGTGTTGTGTGATTGTCCGCCATTTTGTCATCTGATGTGATTTTCCTATGTGTTGTAATACCTCTATGATGTTAATAAGGCAGGATTAGAGGCAGTTTTGTTAATGAGGCAGGACTCAATCTACAAGATTAGGTATGTTGAGTCAGTCTCTTTTGAGATATAAAAGAGAGAAGTGAGCAGAGAGACAGGGGGACCTCATTACCACCAAGCAAGAAGAACCAGGAGTGAGCGCATCCTTTGGACGCAGGATCTCTGCACTAAGAATCTCCTAGTCCAGGCAAGATTGATGACAAGGACCTTCCCCCAGAACCAACAGAGAGAGAAAGCCTTCCCCTAGATCTGGCACCCTGAATTTGGACTTCTAGCCTCCTAAACTGTGAGAGAATAAGTTTCCCTTTGTTAAAGCCATCCACTTGTGATATTTCTGTTATAGCAGCACTAGATGACTAAGACAAGTAGATACCATGATTACCCCCATTTACAGACAGGAACATTGAGGATTAGAGAAGCTGAGTGACCTTCTCAAGTTTCACACCCCGGCACTCTTATGCACCAGGCAAAGACTGACGTAATAACTGGCAGAACCTAACACTTTATTTTTTTTTCCTTTCACTCCTTGGATGGTTTGGAACTCTGAGTCTGGCAAGACTCGCATTAGCCCCATTTCACAGATGAGAAAACTGAGATGCATGGGGTTGAAGAGTCAGCCCAGAGCCCCTGCTGCTCCTGGCACCCCCTCGCCCTCCCCGCTCCCTCAGAGCCCCTGAGCCCACTCACACACCCGCCTTTGGTTTGCAGACTCGAAGGTGGCGAGGACTTCGCACCCTCTTCCGGAAGGTATGCTGCATGGCACTCCCCGTGCAGCTGCTGCTGCTCCTCTTCCTGCTCCTGCTCTTCCTGCTTCCAGTTGGGGACCAGGACCGCAGCTGCACGCTGGCCAACAACTTCGCCCGCTCCTTCAAGCTCATGCTCCACTACGACGGCCCCCCGCCCACCTAGCCCCCTGAGCCACACAGGTCTCTTTCTTCTTCAGCCTCCCGTCAGCCCCAGGGCCCTTGGGAGGATGCCAGGGAAACTGGAAACAGGGCAGACCAGAGAGCACAGAGCAGCCTCCGTATAAATACTGTGTCTGTGTTCCAAGAACATTACTTTTTATACAGTATTGTCTTGGTCTGTTTATACTAAAAGTGCATGTATGTGCGGCTAGGAATTAATGTATAGAAATTTTATATGCTCTGTATGTAAACGCTCAGTCTGTATAGTTTCCTATATAATGCAGCTATTTGTAGTCGGGAAAATTCCTAGCAGTTTACTCCTCTGATGGGATTTTGCAGCATTTTTGCCTTGGCCTGCAACCCACCCTAGAAATCGGGAACAATAACATGTGACTTTTATGGCAACCTTTTATCTGGAACCCAACCTCAAAACCCAGGTGTTGGCAACAAGATCTCTGAGCTGTCAGCATAGAGAGGAGAGTGCCACCAGCCCTCACTCAGATCCCAGTGACTCTTAGTTTAGGCCCAATCGGAACAAACATGCTTGTCCAGGTTTGAAGACAATAGCCAATTCGAGGCTATGGATTCGAAGTAGACATGGGCATGACCAGGGCAGGGATGGTGGCAGCAGTGACAAGTGACAAGTAGGACTGTGGAATCAAGGGAGGAAGAGAAGAGCTGCATAAAGCAGACCAAGAACTATAATACTCAGCAGAGTGGAGGTTTGAGTGCAGGAGCCCTGGCCCTCTGCCCAGCAGCCTCCGAGCCAGGCCACCAATGACTGTGGTCAGGACTCCGAGCCTTCTGGAAAGGCTGAGCTATGCTCCACATGCTCCATTAGGGAGACAGGAAGGAGAGCAGCCTCCTAGGGAGATGTCTGTGCAGAATGGGGAAGCACATCGGCACAGCATCCCCCGAGCCAGTGTCAGGGAGGGACTGGTTTCTGCCGTCCCTGTTGGGCTGAGTGGTCAAGCTGAAGGACAGAGGGAAGCACCTGCCACATAGGGGTGGAGATTGAGGGACCAAGGCAGGATGAGCTCGGCTCTCTCTTCGCCTCCCAGAAGGGACTTTGCAGAGAGGCAGGTCCACCCGGCCAAGAACTCCTCCACATTCCCCCATGGGGCGGGCCAGCTGCCCCAAACCAGGGCCTCTCCAGCATATGTTGTCCTCCATGTGCCACCTGGGAAGGGGCTGGGCCAACACCCTCTGGGCCTGGGGGCAGAAACAGGTCTCTTCCTTCCCCAGGGAATTCTGGGATCGTTCCAGAATACTTTAAAACTGGACCACATTTTCCCTAAACCAACACTAAATTTTCCCTTTGTAAAAAAATCCTAAGTGCCCCTCTTTACAAACGGGTTTTGTCTGTTCAGCTACAAACAGGAGACCAAGAAGGAATTCCCTGGTCCTTGCACTGGACTTTGGAATCATGAAGTGTTAGAGACCCAGAAGGTCCTTTAAGGAGAGGGGAACTGAGGACCCAAGAGGGTCCCGAGGCCATGCCCTCTCCCTATTGCTCTCTCGCACACCCAGCCCCCAGAATCTGGGTGCTGACTGGGCAGGGGAGCACTTGGCGCTGACTCTGAAAGCATTCTTGTCTCCGGCTATTTGGAAACCAAGCCACCAGGCCTTTCTCTGCCGGCGTTACTGGGAAATCAGGAGCAGGGGCAGCCAAGCCTGCAGGCCCAGTCCACCAAGCCAGGTGCTCACTGGGCTGGGCTTATCCCACCCTCGAAGGTCCGAGCTGTGGAAGGGACCTTCGACTGTTCCCGTTCCATCCTCCCATTTCACAGGTGGGAGACTTGAGGCCCTGAAGGCCCGGAGAGGGGAAGTAACTTACTCATGGCCACGTGGTGAGAGGCGGCAGGCCAGAGCTGAAACTGGATCACCCGGTCCCAGGCGGCGCCCTGCCCACTGTAGCGGCACCCACCCCTTATCAGTAACTTCAAAAGAAAACGCAGTCTGGCATCGCTGCCGTGTGTCATCTGTACCGAGTGCTGGGGAGGAACTGCCATATGTGGGGTGGGGAAGTGTCTCTCTGTATTTTTTTAAACTTTGATAATAATGCCCTAAATTCTGCTTGTTTCATAACTGTTTTTTGTTTTTTTTTTACAAAAGAATTGATATTTTCATTACTTTTATATAAATACAGTTGTGATATGATACAACAGCCTGTTCGCTGGTGCTTTTCAAATGTAATCTTCTCTTTTGCTTAAAGTGGATGCAGACAGCTATTATTCTTATGACTTTATTTTCTAGCCTCTTTAACAACCACCATGAAAAGCTTTAAAGTGCCATTTGAAGAAGGCATTGCAGGGGAACCTGCATGGATGTGTTTTTCCTCTGTCCCAGAGGAAGAGGGGTCTTCTGGGGGGGGATGTGCCCATCACTGCCCAGCTGTGCGTGTGTGTGCACACCAGTGGGAGAGAGAGAGATAGGCAGAGAAAGATAAGCCAGACAGATAGGGGAAGACGGGCAGGGAGAAGGGAGAGAGAGACAGAGAGACACTATAGGTCGCCCCTTTATCTAAAGAGAAGTGGGTGTGGGGGGGACAGGCAGGTGGCGGCCAGGAGACACCCGGAGGTGTCCGGTAGGAGGGGAGGAGGGAACCATGCGAACAGAAACAAAGAACGCCTTTCACTTGGTGTTCGTGGGTGCTGGGCCCCTTGGCAAGCACTTTAGAAGCCATATTTCATTTAACTCTTACAACAATGCTCAGAGTTTGATGTTAATTTCCCCCCATTTTTGAGATGAGAAAACTGAGGCTTAAAGAGAGTAAGAAACTGGCCTGTGGCAGAAGTGGGATTTGAACCAGGTTTGTCTGACCCCAAAGCCCTGGTGGCACAGTGGTTAAGAGCTCATCCGCTAACCAAAAGGTTGGCAGTTCGAATCCACCAGCCGCTCCTTGGAAACCCTATGAGGCAGTTCTACTCTGTCCTATAGGGTCGCTATGAGTCGGAATCGACTTGACAGTGACGGGTAAAGCCTGTGTTTGGGACTGAGTGCCTGTCACCTCTGGGGCCAGGTTTCCGTGAGCTAGCAGCTGTCTGCCAGTTCTCAACTGGGATGGGGCCCGAGCCTGCAGTGTCCCCGCCAGTCCCCCACAGGGCTAGCCCTCTGCTCTGAGAAGAACAGACACCAGTAGCCCAGACATCTTCCCACTACTCAGGGAAGCGAGACTTCCTGCCGCCTGGGAGGGGTGCACCTCCCCACCCACTGTGAGGGGCCTGGGTGCTGTTGCTGTCCCCAGCACCCAGCACAGGGTGGGGGCCTCAGCTGTGCTTTCTTGAGTTGCATTAAAAGCCCAGAGGTAAGTGTGTTTCCTGACATCCACCGCCCCTCCTGGACACAGAGGAAGTGGGTCCTGGGGTTGCGTTTTCTCTGAGCAGTGGCCAGAGTTCCTAGCAGGGACCAGGGTGTCCGAGGGTGCTTGTCCCTGGGCAGCTCTGGGGAAGAAGGCTGGGACGCCTTGCAGCCTGGGACCGAGGACGATGACAGGCCCATAACTCTGCCCCCCTGCAGGCTGGGGTGAGATTGGTCACAGGTTAGAATCTTGCTAAATGCACCAGAGTAACGTAAGGTCATTCCCACTGGATCCCTTGTTGTCAGGCAAACGGTGATTTTTGTATATTTACCTGCTGGGAGAGGTGTCTTCTCCTTCCAGGCCTTCCAGAGGTCTCTGAAGGAGCCCAGGCTTTGCCCAGTCCCGCCCACTGGGTTCGAGTCCGGGTCCTGTCGCTCTGGACCCAGTGTCCCCACCTGCTGCCTGGGCAATGACAGGGCAAAACAGCCTGGCCCACAGGGGCATGTGACAAACCACTTCTCTGCCCTGCAGAGGCCTTGCTCCAAGTGGAAGAAGGTGCTCACCTGTCCTCTGCCCACATCCAGGTGACAGCCTCACCCTGAAGGCCCAGGTCCTCAGGGCACATCACTTAGCCCTGGGGTCCCTGTCTCTTGGTCCTTAGACGTGCTAGGCCTCCAGCAGACCTCCCGCCCTGACGTGGCCCCTCGTGCCCCGCCTCACCCCTGTGTGCACGGGCAGCTCCGGGCGCACATCCCGGGAGGGCCTTGTGCCTCCTCTGCCCCAAAGGACCCTGCTGGGCTGCTCAGCACAGGGCCACAGTCGGAGGACTGCAAACCAGCCCTCCTTTCTCCTCTGGCTTCAGTGCACAGGGGAGACTCCTTCTCTCTGCCAAGGGAGGGAAGAGGGGGAATTTGTTTTTAAAAAGAAACAAACAAATGAAAACCCAAAAACTCGTGGTCTGAAGGCAAATCTTACAGCAGGCACCTGGCGTTTTGAAGAGCCGTCAGCAGACTCTGCGTCCCCACTGCCTGCCTTTTGGTTGTCATGGTGACATCAGAGCTGCTCACAGGTTGGTACCTGAACATCTTGTCAGATGGGACAGCAATTCTGACAGGCGGGGCCTCAGCTCCCCAAAGGATCCTGGGCTTCCATTCCGGAGTGCCAACTTCTGCACTCAGCTCACAGGGACACCAGGCCAGCCCACTCCCGGCTGCTCTGTGGGGGTGAGGGACACAGGCCTGCAGCCCTCTTGTGGGATAAGAAATGGGGGTCAGCAACAGAGCCCTCACTCCTTCCAAAGCCGGGCTGTAGAACCACAGTCTTTTTCCAGACGCAGAAGCCAGAGCACAGAGAGGCTTAGCAGTCTGCCTGAAGGCAACCAGCAGGCAGAGACGGGTCATTTGGGACTTGACCCCAGGCATGACTGGCTGAAGCCCATGTTCCTCCTGCCGCTCCATGGAGCTTTCTTCAGCCTCGCTTGCTTTTCTGTCCTCTGGGGGCCATGGCTGCTGCGACTTTGGCAGCTGGGTCGGGGGTTGGCCTTCCAGGCCAGGGGCAGCGGGTTTTCTTCCCATGTCCACTCCTGCCGGGGGCTTCTTCGACTCCCACCACCATCAGGAGCTGACAAGAGCAGGATGAAGTGTTGGCGGTGGGAGGGTGGAGGCAGGTGCCTGCCGTCTGCCTGCTCCTCCTGGAAAAACAGAGGACAGAGTCTGGCTTTGTGAGGTCGCTGCCTGAAAAGCAGCTCCAGTTCCTTCCACTCGAGAAGAAAGAGGCATTTTCCCTCCAGAAGCAGTGGCTGTTCGTGTTCTGTAAGTTTTATTGGGAGGAGGAAGTGGGCAGTGGAGGTTGTGTGTGTGTGTGCGAATGCAGTGTGTGTGTGCGTGCAAATGTATGTGCATCCTACACAAACATCTCCATCCTGAAGCCCAGCCGGGCAGCCTGGTGTCCAGCCTGGGCTTTGGGGGCCTGGGGAAGACCACGCTGGAGCCAGGATAATTCCCTTGAGGCCCAGCAGGTGGCTTCTTAAAGGAGCGTCCGGTTGACCTTTCTGACATTCTCCACCCAGGGAGGAAGGCCACCTGAACCGTTAGACTCCAGCATCTGAAACTTTCTGTGACTGGTTTAGAAATGATGCTTCTCTTTTTCTCACGGTCGCAAGCAGAGGTAGTTAATTCCTGCTTGTGAAGGAGGACTTGGTTCTATGGATCCTAAATTCGCCCATTTCTCTCTCTCTCGCTGTGTGT